CTGTTCACAGGACTATTTGATGGGTATCAGGTTAACAATCGCAGTGCCATGCATGCGATGGAACAGGGACCTGTCCGGGACCTGTGATTCGACGTGTGTTCTGACACCCCGGTGTTCATACCTTTCCCATCCGGTTCCATCCGAACATCAAAGGAAGCGACATGATGGGACCAGGTTCGGAGCTCCTGGACCTCTCTGGATGACTCTGAATCGACTTTTCGCCCCCCTAGACCATGGCAGACTATGACAGTCGGAAGAGTTACGACCACCGATAGATTCATGTACCTGACCCTGGTATTCCAGGGTCAATTTATAGCTGGTGTTCTTTTTCCCGTCCCCTTTGGATTCCAACACGGACTTCCCACTCTCCTTTCATTCATAAACACAGTGGGGTGACCAAATCGGGGTACGTCGACGGCTCGCGGCTCGCTGCGGTGAGCCTGGAAAGGCCTGGGATGTCACGGACGTCAAGGCGGCGGCCCTGCGGCTCCTGCACGCTTTGAAGCTTTTGCGGCGTGAGGCGGGAGCCCTGCGGAAGAGGTGGAGTGTTCTTGTTTTTGGGCAGGGAAGGCGGAAGATGACAATGTGCACCAAGAGCAACATCAAACAATCTTAAACATTTTGTAAATGGAGATCAATGGAGCATGACGTTTTAACAAAAGACGACTTTCCTTCTACAAACTGGCTTTTGACACAACGTCTAGGTCGTCCATCTCCTCGTCACAGAGGGTCGTCACGATGTTCCACCGCTCTCCCAACAAAAACACCAAGCAAGCACTTCCAAGAAGGGATCATTGAGATCATTGAGATCACCACAAAAAAAACACCAAGTCAAGCTACGCTTCAAGCAATACGCTTCCAGTGAACCCACGGTCCTTTGTTCGGTGCTCGGCATGGGTCTTCTGGCACGGTCGTCCGTCTTCAGACCACCGAATGGGAGGGACCAGTGAGACTGAAAACAAGGACCGAAGCCCTAAGGATTGTTTTTTTTCCCCAAAAAGGAACGGAGGCCAGCAGAGCACAAAGGGACAGTTCTTTGATAGAAGACTTGACCTCATCTGTGTTGTTATAGCTTCACCTTGCAGATGTGACGTGCACATATCTCTTTCCCTTCTTTTTCTCGTTGGTCACAGACTTTGGAAATCAGGGAGCCTCCTCAATCGAACCAGGCTCCCTAAAGGTACATATTTCATGGGGAGAACGGGGACTTGCTGCAAGTCATTCCTCCCCAAACTTTGTGGTTCTGCACCAGCACATGGAGCACCAGCACATCGACATGATCCTTTTGTGTCCTGGAAGAGACCCACATGGAACCCCAAACCCACTTGATTGTAGAGGAAAATCATCTTCCAAAGGTCCATGCCATCAGGTTCCATATTGGTCTCCCCGGGTTTCCTGTTGCATTGCGGTTCGGTGAGTGGGTCGCTTCGTGCTGCCAACCGGGATCTCGTGACCAAGCCGGTGACGCACAAGGAAAAACTGCTGGGTGACGCACCCATCGAAACAACACCGAGTAGGATGTTCTAGTCATTTGGCATAGGTTAGAGAACAGGATGTTTCAGCTTGAGTGAGTCAGTGTAGCTCCTTTTCACAACTGATCTACAGCCATGGTGATGGAGATATCATTCATGCAGCTCACAGGCGAAACGATATGTCTTGAAGTCACGCCAGATATGACGCTGTGGAGCCTCAAAGAGCATCTCAAAGAACAGCTCTGGGAAGATGAACCCACTCGCAGAACAACTCGAGTAGACCTGGTGATTGGAGACAGCAAGTTGATTGGCAATGATGGAATGGTGGCGGATGCGGGCCTTTCTGCAGATTCCGATGTGACACTGATTTGCAAAGCTAATGCGGTTACATGCTCGGACCAACGCACCCTCGCCGAATGTGGCGACATTGACTTGGAATCTTGGATTGCCGTTGAGATCCCAAACGATGTATCTGAAATTCGTCCAGGCGCCTTTCAACACTGCGAGAGGCTGGCCAAGTTGAGGATCCCAGACTCTGTCACACACGTGGGGGACTCCGCCTTTGCCAAATGCAGTTCTTTGACCAGTCTTGCCATTCCGGGCTCAGTGATCTACATTGGAGATGGTGCCTTCCGTGGCTGCAGCTCTTTGACTAGTGTCACCATCCCCAATCTTGTGACGGACATCGGGGAAGCCGCCTTCGCGAAATGCAGCCTTTTGGCAAGTGTGACCATTCCCAACTCAGTCACCCACATTTCAAAAGATGCCTTTTGGCTTTGCAGATCTTTGGTGCGAGTGACCATTCCTGACTTCGTGACCCACATTGGGGAGAATGCCTTCAAGGACTGCAGCTCTTTGTGTAGCCTGGACATCCCCAACTCCGTGACCCACATTGGACCATTTGCCTTTGCAGCATGCAGCTCGTTGATAAGAATTTGCATTCCGGACTCAGTGACTCACATTGGGAGCGGTGCCTTCTGGAAATGCCACTCTCTGTCGAGCGTAGCAATGCCTGGCGTGACTGATTTGGGGGAAGCTGTATTCAGGGACTGCAGTTCTTTGGCCAGTGTGACCATCCCTGACACCGTCTCTGAAATTGGACAAGGCACCTTTAGAGACTGTCGTTCCTTGGCAAGCTTGACCCTCCCGAGCTCCGTGACCCACATTGGGAAAGGTGCCTTTGCCTTTTGCAGCTCTCTGGCACAAGTGACACTTCCGGACTCAGTGACGCAGATTGAGGCGGGCGCCTTCATGAAGTGTGGATGCTTGGCAAGCGTCATCATGACCGCCTCTTCCTCTTTGGTTCGCATCGAGGCCGGTGCTTTCATGAACTGCAGCTCGTTAGCTACGATGACCATCCCTGACTCAGTGACCTACATTGGTGATTTGGCCTTCGCAGATTGCAGGTCCTTGACGTTGAGGGTGTCTGTCTCTCGAACCAGGGGGACCGCCCTCCAAGGCTGCAATCGAATCATGGCAAAGGAATGTGAGTGCCAAGCATGCATGTACAGTTGGTTTCTAAGAGGCTGGGTTTGCCCTCGACAGTGGCTGCCTTGACATCACAGTGACCAAGTGCGTTCTTGAACTGTGCTCTACGACTTTAACGTTCTGAATTATCTCCAGAACTTTAATCCTTTCAGCTGCACTTAGCCGAGCCGCTGGCCTCCCATAACCTGATGTATCTAAGGACACCTGATGTATCTAAGGACATCTCTCTCTCTATATATATATGTTTGTGGTTCAGGTAAGACTTGATGGTTCCACACCAGACCTGAACGTACCTGCATTGTTCAGTGTTTCAATCTCAGACCTTTTTCATGTATAGCACGGTTCTAGGCTCATCATCTACCCCACTGATACTGCATCGACATTTCCAGTCATGTCAATGTTTTGTTTGTGCTGTTTGTGCCATGTAGGTCCTGCTGTTTGCTTTGCTCTCCCGGCCAAACTTCCTTCGCAGCCGCTGGCAACCCAACATATGATAGCCGAAAGACGCCTAAATCATAGATACTGGGTGGTACTGGCACCCAAACCCTTTTAGATAGAAGACAACTACAACAAGGGATGTTCCTGCATCCGTCTCGTGCATCTCCACCAGGCAGGCATCTTGTTGCCATTGGAGGAATCCCCAGTGCAGTTTGGGCCAGTTTGGGCCACCAGTCCTTGTGTTGTGGGACGCTAACTCTTCCAGACTTGGATTCTTCAGCATGGGAGGTCAGGTGTGGTGAACACGGCGCTGTTTCCTTGCACCATTCGAGCTGAGGGAACTGGCTGAAGGCATGTGTCAGGGGGAAAACAGGCAAAACATGCGCTTTGGTGCTGCACATGATTGCACATGAGAGGCGGTGACCTAGCATAAATCAGCAAGGTTGACAAGCCTTTAGCCTTCAAGATTTGCTGAGTATGGCTGCTGAGAAGTAGGATCTAATCCTGGATGGATGAGTTCTTGGAGAACCTGCTGGGGAGACAATTTTTTTGGGACTGTTATGAAGTATTTTGATTATCTACGAATCTACACATATCTACGGCCTACTTGTCCACTAGCTTTCTTGCATCGAACATGCATCCTGGATTCAGATGTCTATGTGGGGCTTTGTAGATTTGGTCAAGCAAATGGAAAAAAGCAGTCTTCAAGGGTCTTTGCTGCCCACTTTGAGATTAGGGCCCCAGTGGTTGACAAGATAAGAACTTATGGGTACCTGCTTTGGCCAACCGGAGCCGGCTTCCCCCTGCGTTTGGGGTCCAGTCTAGCAAGCCGCCTTCAGTCTCGCAGGTCTCCCATGCTGAGACCGGAGGTCGATTTCGCTTGAAATTGAAGAAGGAGGACAGGGCAGATTTTAAGAAAACCATAGGCCCCCCTAAAAGCATTTTAAAGGAGAACGTGCCCCCAGCCTTGGTCTGAATGTTGCCACTTGGGATGCTGCGGTTCACTGTCTTGGAAAGAGAACAAAGCACCGAACATGTCACTTGGACATAGAGAAAACCTCCCAACTGTTCAAACTTCAAGGGTTCTTACCTGTCCCCAAAGCTGCCAAGCCAGGACTTGGTCAAGGTGCAATCGGCGGGCAGCATCTTCCCCACAAACCTGAGCGCACGCTCGGCGCGGCCGGCTCCGCTGGTGCGAGAACTGGAGCGTGAAACCGCAGGTGGAAAAAAGCAGTACGAGATGATAGGAAATTCACCAGCTAACATCAGAGCTAATGACATTTGGAAGCAGAAGGTTGCCTCATTTTTGTTCAAGCTTTCGTTTCGGAGGGTGATGGACTATCGGATACTCCTCATCTGTGTTTTGGATACAATATGCAATTTAAATCCATTTAATTTATCAATTGGATGATCTTCAGCAAGTACGATTCTCTTTTGCTTTTCCACCTAATCAGGGTGATTATATGCATGTGGATCGATGCACCCTACGGACATTCATTGCAGAAGCACGTTGGGGTCGACCCTGTCGATCCCGTCGATCCCGTCGACACCCACGGAGTTCCGCGGAGTTCCGCGCCGGCCGGCCGATGTCCGCTCGCTGAGGAGGACTGGGGCCACTTGTACTGCCGCTTTCGGGTGTTGGGAGGCGCAGCACCGTGAGATATAGCTGACTTGTACGTCTGACGTCGCGCCGTCCCAGATTTTGGTGTCTTTAACGACCGGTGACACACACCAGTAACACACACACCAGAGGGCGAGTCCCAACGGAATCGGTGTTTGGACCAACGGGTCACCGGTGTCCCCGAGCGCGCTTCGTCCGATGTTTGGAGCGCTTCGACAGACGAAGGGAGAAGCAAGCGAGGGACGGGACAAGCGAGGAACTGAAGAGAGGGAGATCTTTGATGCTTTTTTTGTTTTTTTTTACATGTCCAATCATGTCCATCACAGCAAATAACATCTGTTCCAAACATGTGTTCCAATGAACGAGTCATGCCTTCATGGCCTGAAATGATGGCTTCATGCCGTTGTCTCGTCAATTGTCAGAAGGGGATTCCGACGAACGCTCTTTTCACTGGAATTGTCTTCATAGCAAAATGCACATCATTGCCGCACAGTGCGGATCATGGTCGCACCGTGTGAGCTTCCCTCTCCAGCGGTTTTTCTCTGCGAAGAGCATGTTCGGAGCTCTTCGTGGTCCGTGCCCGGTCCGTGTCATGTAGACTATCGTAAAGCTGCCCAGGCCTGAATTGGACATCCTCTGAAGAGGCCTGGGGGGTTTATGGTCCTCAAGAGTCTACATACCCCCATGACTGTTCCGAGAGGTTCATCTTCGGTGAAACTGACATCGCTAGGTGAGCTTCACACCTGCAACCCCTGGCAGATGGAGGCAGGGCTCACCACGGCAAACTGAGGTTCAGAGACGTTGGAAATTGGTTTCCGGTGTTGGTTGGGTCTAGACGGTCTAGTGTATTGGGTGTAATGATAGATAGACATTTGGTTTTGCCCTTGGAACATGTATTGGACAGGTTTTTGCGCGCTTCGCCTTTTCCTGATTTGTCCATGCAACCAATGAAGACAAGTTTATGTGCGAATCTCTTCATTGTATCCATTTTGCCTTAGCCTTAGACGTTGCAGCCTCTATCAACCACCCACACTTGTTCAGCAGAATCCTTTGTTTTCATCTGTTGAGTCACTGCTACGAGTCACGAGGGTTGTCAACATTTCTTTTTTTTGTGCCAGGGTGTCTTGGGGATGGCCAGAGGGTTGGTATAGCACCGATCAATTGGTTTCTCTCACCAGTCCTCTCCAATGTCTGGGTGCGGGGCAACCTGATCAACCTGACATTTCCTCGATTCGCGCAATGTGGATTTAGGACCGTCATTTTTCAAGTAGAAGACGGGCATAGATGGGCAATCCAAGAACCAAAAAGACAACGGTCAGAAGCGAAGCCCGAATCATGAAATGTGAACCCCTTCATCAGCATCCTCTTTTGATCATAAACTCTTGAGTAACTGGTGGGTCCAGTCTTTCGTACGATGTTCTTTTCATCATCCCAATGATTGGTCACCTAATTACCTGAGATATTCATTTTCCAATTCAGCCCTTCAGCACCGCCTCAGGTGCTGAAGCATGACCTTTCGACCAGTGGTGAGCCCTGGGGTCAATACAAGGCCACTGCCTTCCATCAGAGCTGCCATTATGCCTTTCTTTTTCGCATTCTCAGGGTGCCTGTCAATCTTCGCTGCCTTCCCTCAAGTGCTTTTGAAGTTGGTGACCTTCAGTGACTTCGCCCTCTCTTTAGGGGCGGAACACGTATCACCCCAGTTGTGGCGCAGGTTCCATGACCCGCTGGCGGCGCGGCCCGCGCCGCTGGCGCCACACTGTCACGTGGTCCAGTCCCCGGCGTTTGCCCTCCGTGCCGAACTCTTCAGGCCATGTCTCGTGCTCTTCGTTTGCTTCTGGCGCTGGATCTTCTCCCAGAAGACTTGGACCTCTTCGTGTCGATGAACATCTATGCAGCTCGCATGGTTCTTCGAAAAGGCTGATTGATGCGGACTTGACAGACTCGGTGCAAGAGAGGCAAACGAGGCAAGCGTTTCTTGTATAATCCTATATTATAGTAAGGGCTCCGCCCTGGTGCCGCCGACCCCTTTTCTCGGGGCA